TAATGGAGGAACATGTGTTTGTGTGTTTGTGGCCTCCGAGATGCGTCATAAGATGGAGGCAAAATTTGCAGCCACCACCTGCATGTTGGAAAATACCGCATTGCTCCCCACCATACCAGCTTCATTGTAGCTATCTTCTGTTCTGATGTATCTAACCTTTTTACATAAACAAGTATGTCATTTGTGTGAGGACCCTTTATGGTATCGCTCAACTTTTATAACGTTTGTCCATCAGCTACAACTGTTACACTATGGAGACGTATGAAGCAAGTTGTAGATATACAGTCAAATAGACATTGGGGGGATTTATCAAAACTGGAGCAGACAAAATCTTGAGCAGTTGTCTATGGCAACCAATCAGCTTCTCTCTTTAGTTTGTTCAGTTAAGCTTTGAAAATCAAAGGTGGATGCAGATTGTATAACAGCCTCCATTTTTCTATTACAACAGTGGTGTCCTAATTATAACTGGGCAGTCCAATAGGTACTACAGTTAGACCCAGCAGGGCTTTTAAACCTAACAAGGAGGTGGTTGGAGGTTTTCCCTTACAGTGAGGAGACATGCTGCCATTCAATAAGGATTTCTCTAGTTGGGGAGCAGCACTGCCTTCTGGGTGATACATGCGGCAGGAAGGCTATTTTGCCCCAGCCGTAGTCCTTCACAAGGAGGTGTAGTTCGATCTGCTTCATTTACTGCTACTGGACATATAATGTATGATATATTTGTTGTACTAGAGATCCGTGGACAAAACGCAGACGAAGGTAAATATATAATCACTTTACAAGTGTGTCAGTAAATGTCATTAAGGTTGCATATTTTTTTGGAACTTATAAAATGTAAGCTTGTGTTTCCTGTTGCAGTGTAATGAGGGCACATGTAGCGTATGTGAGGTGCACACTGGATAGGTTGGTTCTGCTGCATCACCAGACCGTTCTACAACATGCTTTACAGAAGAGCTATTTGTGGCCTAAATGACATAAGACTGCTCACATGGTTTTTACTTCCCTGTACACTTCTTCTGTGTCTAAACATTTCAGCTGACCAGAGGCAGATTTTCTGCTGTATTCTCATGTATGCTGACTGTTAATGGCTATTATTAGTATTCTGCCTTTTTAAACATTTGAGTTGTTTTGTTGCTGTGATACAGTCCTCGCAGTTCTTCTTACTGAGACAGAATAGACAAAGTGGGCACTGCTAATTGGAAATATGGAATGTAATACTGCTGTGCTGACCTTGTTCTGAAAATAATTGTTCCCTGGCTACCTTGTCAGCCCGTGGCTTCAGTGCTTCGAGTTCCCTACCCAGGACAAGCATGCAGCATGGGGAAAAACCGATTCTGATCTGCATACTTGTTTTTGGATCAGTGATTCAGAAAGCATTGAAGCCGAAGGGTGAGCATGCAGCCTGGCAACGCATATTTTAAAAAATGAGATCTGGCATATTCTGTCTTTCTCTCATGAGAGTTGAAAGATGGTCTCCAGTCTCCCCCTGCTACTAAGCCCCTCCCTGCTCCTTTTTAAAGACTGGTGCTGAGTGCTTTGAAACACTTTGGGAGCATGAAGAATCAGTTTCTGCAGCCACAGCATACAGGTACTCTTATTCTCCCCTTCAGCACTGATCAAATGACCAATGCTTCAGCATTCGGTCATAGTACTGATTGCTTTGGGATTGCAGAGCAGCAGTTGTTGCAGCCAAGATAAGTTTTTAATGAGATTTGCTACTTTTTATTAACATTAAGGGAATGGTGCAGGTAGGGTAGTGAGGGCTTTAATGTTAGACAAAAGAGAGAACCAGATTGTGCAGAAAACCCTTTAATAAGCACATAAAATAAACATATATTTATTTTCCGTTCTTTGAAGGAGACATCGGAGATCTTGATTTTCTCTCGGACTATAGGGTTATAGTGCCACCTTCAGGAGTAGGACACTGCTTACATAGGAGGCCCATTAGAAGTCAATAAAAACTGTCCTCCATGTATATAATGAGAAGAATGCTGAACCCTCTCTATCTGACATGAGTGGAGCTTCATGGCATTGTGACTAGTGGAAAAAGCTGGCAGAGAAAACCAGCCTAGTGACCAACAACCCTCCAGCACCAGGCCCAATATTCTTCTGTTGCTGCTTACATATTTAGGGGTCTCTACACGTTCATCAGAGTACCAACAGCATCAGAAGAAAATTAATTTCTAGCGAAAAGAGGATTGTGTGAATATATGGTACCAGACTCTATCTATATTAGCATGATTCAGAAGAGAGTGGGCACATACCTGTATGCAAAGGGCTGCTATACCCGACTCTAGAGGGTTGAGCAGTCCTCTCATCTGCTTAGATTATGGAGGACACATTTATGGGGGGGTGGATTGTCTTCCTATGCACTGTGTCATGCTCTCTACTTGTGCTATAAGAGGAGGTCCTGCTGTTTTGATACTTTTCCTAAAGTTTTTTTTCTCCCCCCAGACAGTGTAGCTGACCTCAATACGACAGGCCAGTCCATTGATGGGCCATTAGCAGAAGGAGGCAGGGCTAGCTTGGATACCAGAGCTCCTTGGAATTAAACTGATATGGGGGCAATATAACTGGGCCTGTAGGCCCCTGGAGATGACTGTGTTTTACAAGTACATAATTACCAGCACTGGTATCTCACTTTATAAAACAACAACCTTTAGAGTGAGTGGAATCTGCAAGTTCTGCTCATGTGTAGAGGAC